CTTGTAGCAGTTCCTGGATGCTTTCTCATGCATTTAAAGGCGTAGTTCACCCAAAAAACGAAAATTTTGTTGTCATTTACTGACACTTATGTTGTTTCAAACCTGTATACATTTCTTTCTTCTGTTGAACACAAAAGAAGAAATTTTAAAGAATGTTGGTAACCAGACAGTTGATGGCACCCATTGACTCCCATAATATATTTTTTTCCTACTATGGAAGTCAATGGCTAATATAAAAGGAAGATCAAGTTACAAATTTTAACTGGTTAATTTATGCAAACAGTAAAATAGAAAATCAGTCCAGTCTCCCCAGCTGTAAATGTCATTGGCTGACATGTTGATATATACACATAAGCAGAATCTTTCAGAATGCTCTCAATCACATGTAGTTGCACACTGTATGCATTAGTGAGTGTGGTGGTCTGCGTGTTTCTGTGAATGAGCGCTCGATGTGTGCTCTACTACACACTGACGCGCGCGTGACACTCGTGGTGTTTTCAGCGTCTATGAGGAGGACATGCACACATTTTAACTTCATTGCAGAGCTTTTATGAGAGTCACTTCACAAGAATTTTACCCTTTCATTTGATAAAACTATCGTCATTCATTCGTATCATATACACACTCACAAACTTTAAAGTCCTCATGACAACCTGTCAAAATCAAAGTTTTGTATAACTTGAAGAAAATATAACAGAAATATATTACTATTGCACAGTAGAGTATATTTCAAGTAGGCCTAATAATAATAATAATAATAATAGTTTATTAAAAGACACAGAAGCTCAAATGTCTTTAATTTACAACCCACCAAAATAAAAGTTTGTAAAGTAACTCGAGGGAATTATGAAAGAAATTGCATAGTAAGATTTACTTTTTAAAATAATAATAATCAAATCTAATAAAACATAATTTTAAAGGAATATCACACAAGTTTTTAAAAAGTAAATTTTTATTTGTGCTTATAATGTTTATGTCTTTTAATTGTCAGCTGATAAAACCTGTGCTTCAGGGACCATATTCATATAACATCTAAGGCTAAATGTACCTCTTTACTGGCTGAGTTAGATGGCGATTAACACTAAACAGTAGAAAATGGCTGGTGGTGGTGGCAGCGGCGGCGGGCGTGTGGGTATACTCACAGTATACTCACTACAAAAAACTAGACTACACCACTGCTTATGCCCAAATAGAAGTGGAACCTATTAGTTGAGTGAGTCTTCTCTCCATTGAGAAGATCCTGAGAGCGTTCGGTCATTTCAGTGCTCTCTTTCCTGCAAGATGGGTTGGAGTAGGCTGTTTTCCTCCACCCTCAAAGTGATGTGCCTCTGTTATTACTTGACGCACATCATGATGCAGAAGCATGGGAAGCACATCCTGATCGTCAGGTTCCTGAGGGAACAATGATATAAAAAAAAGCCTTGCGCCCCTCTTTATCCTCTTGGGCCTTATCTCTGGTGCCATTGCACTGCAGAGACCGCCCCTGAGCCACTGCAGGCAGTGAGTAAAAAAAATAAAAAAAATTCAGTTCTCCTGCTCGCATGGTCTCTACTAGATGGTAGGGACTTGCTCGCTTTAGGTCAATGAGTTATGCCTGGAATTTGGGCCGGCTACTCTCACAAGTTGAGACCCTGGCCTGGATATGTGCCCAAGGTACCTACCTCTCCCTTAAACTGGGACCAGGTGGTGAGCCTGCAAGTGCTGCCCCAGACGAGGCAGACCCAGCTTTCTCTCTGGCTTTCTCTGTCCGTCCGCTTCATTGCGGTTATACGTGTACAGAACGCAAGCCATAGGACCTCAGACAGGGATTAAAGTTCTCTGTCGCTACGACGGATTTCCGTTAATTGCAGCGAGTCTATGACGGATTTCCGTCAATTGCAGGGTTCCCGTCTGTCCTTATGTCTTAAATTAACTTTTCATAATTTTAAGGCCGTAAATAGGCTTTCATTTCTCAAATAGTGTGATAAATGTCTTAATTTTAGTTTGAACAGTTTGAATAGGTCTTAAATTAAGGAGAGACGAGGTGTATTCACCTTGCTGAGGGGGATGTGATCAAAGCCTGGAGTGGAGCGAAAGCACGTTCCTCTCTCCACTCTAAGCATTCTGTTATCACTTCGCTTACGGTCCACTCCGGGTTTTCAATTCCCGCTCACGGGAAAAACTGCTCCGTGTTCACTCAATTAATCTTTGGAGAAGTGCATGTCAGGCTACAGCTCGTTTGCTGCGGTCCGAGCCCGAGCGCGCAAACGTGCACGGCGCATGATAGAAAACAGAACGCGGGTCAATATTGTCCGTTTCTCAATAGCCTACCAAGTAGCCTACGCAAACTTCGGACTTGCGTCCTGGTAGTTCGGACTTGCCAAGTTCGACTCAGGAGAACGAACTCCCGAGGACGAGAGGACGCGAGTCCGGTTATTCTGCAAATGGAACAGTGCGTTCTTGATCGCGTCACTCAGCTCGCTCTGGCTACTCCGGTTATCTCTTTATGTATATTTTAGGCAACCATAAAACGAAATATGGTATAAAATACAACTCTGCCTCTTTTCATTTATAAATGAACATATTATCATAAACATATTAATGGCCACACAAATGTGGTTCAGGCAACGCACATTGATTATCTTCACACTTCATATATTTATAACAACACGAAATATAAAACACAACCCTGCTTCTTTTTGTTTTCATTTAAAAAATATGAAACATTATTGATCATTAAAACTGACATTTAACAAACAGACAGGGTTGTATCGTTTTATTGTATTATGCATGTACACATACAGTGAAAGTAATGCATAGTAAATATATATATATATATATATATATATATATATATAAAGAATATTTTAGAATATATAAAATTACACAACCCTGTCTCTTTTTGTTAAATGTCAGTTTTAATGATCAATAATATCCCGTTCAAAAGTATAAGTAGCCTAATAGGTAGGCTATAATAAGCTATACAATGAGAAATAAAAGCAAACAATTCAGTCAAACATAAGTCAGCTCTCTAATAGGCTACAAAGTTAAATAGCCTAAATATATAAAGTTATGAAACTTCACTTTGCCCTCAGCCAAAACGATTTGCCATGGAACAAACTATATATTAACATAGTTTAGCATTGTTTGGTCTTATAAGATAAATAAAAACATGCACTGAAAAGTTATGTAGATGGTTGATTATTTGTCAAGATAAGTAATTGTTTTTCATAGATTAAAATAGCTTTTAAAATACGCACACTGGCAATATTAAAGCGGTTTAAAACAACTCCCCTTAAAACGCTATTAGTCTCGACTATTTAAATAAAGTTACAGGAATATGACTTGGCCTGAAAAAAAATTCAGTCAGAAGAATTTTTTTCACTTTAATCCCTGACCTCAGACCAACTCTTACCTGTTAAGGAAGTCAGCAAAAAGGGAAGCCTGTTTCCAAGCGATGTTGGCTCACTGAATGTGGTTGCCTTCATCTTGGTGAAAATCCCGAGATGCACATATCCACTTAGGTGGTGAGCTCCTCTTAAATGAGTGTGTGCTCCCACCTAGGCGTTGACATAGAGTGCTTTGCTGACAGATATTCTAGAGTTGGGGGCTGGGTGACACCTTAGTCGAACCGCGGCTTCCCGTGGGCTCCCTTCTCATGAAGCCAGTTTCACTGCGAGCCCGGTTCTAAGTGTCGGCTTGCTGCACCATTCCCCTCCTACGGAGTGGATACTTGCGCCATTTTGCTCCAGTAGAGTTTCCTTAACCAAACCCTGTTGAGTTCCTCCGGACCCCTCCGACATCAGACGTGGCGGAACGCCCAGTGTTAGGCCTACCACTCGTAAGCAGTGTGGAACCTGTGTTAGGCTGGGTACATATGTTGTGATCCCTACAGTGATCCCATATGTGTATTTTTCCACGGTACGGCTCCCTACGGTGAGCCCGTGTCTTCCCTCGGCAGAGCACTGAGTCTCCCCCTGTCATAGGCTGGAGCCCCCCCAGTGACCTTACATATGTTGTACTGCCCGGTCTCCGCCCAGTACATTAGTGTATTCTCATTAGTGTTACCTCCCTTCGGGCAGAATGTGGCTTCCGCAGCTTCCCTTCCTTCCATGTCAGAGAGCTTTCCCAGTGAGCCTGTAGGAACAGCAATGACTTCCCTGGCCTAAAGCCCTGTCCCTTCTCCGCCTTAAATTGCAGGGGGATCAGGAGGCTTTTGTCTAAGCTCTGGAAGGTGGCAGCTTTAGTGGCGATTTCAAAGGTTGATCCCATTTCAGTCGACATCGACTATGTCTGATGTTCTTGACTGAAAGGGAACGTCATGGTTGCGTATGCAACCCACCGTTCCCTGAAGGAGGGAACGGAGGACATAGTCCTCTTGCCACTACCGCTGGACCACCGCTGACTCCGAGTTATGCTCAGCTCCTCAGCGAAAAGCAAATGGTTCGTGCATCTACTTCCGTATTTATACCCGCGCCGCGGGGTGGAGTGGGAGATGCATATCTTGCACGCCAATGTGCATTGGCTCGTTCTAAGATACTCGAAGACAATAGGCTCCCTAGCGTGATTCCATTTCAGTCGACGCAGACTACGTCCTCCGTTCCCTCCTTCATACGCAACCAGGACGTTTCTTCACAAACCCTAGTTTAGGAAACCCTGACATAATGTAATGTTTAATGCACTTAATGTTGTATTTAATGCACTCTTTGTATATATATTTTTTTATATCAACATGATAAAGGATTTTACTCAAATCAATGTGATAAATGAGTTAGGTCAAAAGTAATCTAAAAGTAATCAGATTATATTACGTGTAATGTGATTACGTTACTAATTAAACATTTTTTTATGTAATTTGTATTTAGTGATAGGACTACGATTTGTAAGTAATCTACCCAGCACTGAAGGTAATGAAAATGTAGATAAAATAGGACATGCAATGGCCGGAATCCGTGAGATTCACGCATTGACATAACCTTGATAACAACTTTCATAACATGACGATTTCTTTTTTATCTCAGTTTACTTGGACCGTGTGTGTGTGGGCTGACAGGGGAAGACAGAAGCGCGCATGGATCATCGAGTCTTTCACTATTGAGGAAGAACACCCTGGTCCATTTCCATATACACTAGGCAAGGTGAGCGGAGTTAGAAACATTTAGCTGTTTTGTTGTTCAATTCCATTTCATTTGTATAGCTTTTTTCACATTACATATGTGTACAAGTACTGGATGATCATGATTATGTGAACATTTAAGTGTGCATGTTGTTTGTGTTTCAGATTAAACTTGAAAAGTCTTATTTAGTCAGATACGAGCTAAAGGGTCAGGGTGTGGATGAAGAGCCAAAGGGTATTCTCAGTATTGATGGAGATGGTAAGGTTTCAGTATATAGAAAGGTGGACTTTGAAAATAAGCAAGGAATTAAAGTTCTCAAAGTAAGTACTCCCTAATAAACAAATCACACATTTCATAATAGCATTGAAATTTTTGTAAATACACTGCAAAAAAAGGCTTGTATATTGACATGCGCTGGACTCAATTACAGTCGACATTTGAAGCAATAAACAATTCAAACAATGAAGTGGATACAAGACTCGGGGTCCATATCCAAATATTGGACATAAATGATCACGCTCCAAAATTTCAGCAGCCGGTCTATCAAGTGAATGTGGATGAGTCACATGCTCAAGGTAACCCAGTATAGTTTGCACTTCACTCTTTTATTTATGAAATTGTAAAATTGAATGATTAGTTCACAACAATACACAAAAAATGTAATGTCGTTGCAGACCACTATATATATTTTCTCATTAAAAAAAAGGAAACATTTATAAATTATTAGAATTGTTACACACAACACAACTATTTACTAATTAATTTGAGGCATTGTAACATGGTTATTACAATATATGTGAGGAGGATTTTCAATGAATAAACAACTTATTTAAATATACGTTGTTATGAACAACTAATATTATGCAATTGTATGCAATAATATACATACATGTAAATTGTAAAATCATGTATGCACAGAAAGGATTGGATTCTGTAGTATAGCATTAATAACAGCATACAGGTGTGAAACAACATAAGGGAGAATAAATAAGGACTGGGTGAAATATTCTTCAATATTAAATAAATACTTTGAGGGAAAAGAAATAACTTTACATTCATGTAGCACATTTTTTTCCTAGGTAAAGATGTACTGACAGTACTGGCATCTGATGAAGATGATTCAAGTACAAACAATGGAACGTTTGATTTAACAATCAAGTCTTTCACACCAAAACCAGATAATGTTGAATTTTATATTCAGCAGCAAAAAGGACAAACTGCCGGGACAGTTTATTTTAGAGGGTGTTTGAACTATGAGGTATGAAACTAATTTCTTTCATTGGTAACAATGATTTACCTGTTATTACATTCAGATAACATGCATTCCTTTTTGTGCTTTATACATATTTCTCCATTCCTACACAATAAATCTACTAAATTAAACTTTTCCAGAAAGCTCAGAAATATACAATCCTTGTTGAAGCAAAGGACAAAGGGGAAAAGATACAATTGTCAAGTACAAGTACAGTGATAATCAATATTTTGGACGAAAACAACAATCTTCCAGGGTTCTCTGGCAAAACAGTAGGTTTCATTTTGGACTGGAAGTTTCCAAGTTTTAATGCTTGTGATATTCTTGTTAAATGTTTTTTTTTTTTTTTTTTTTTTTTTTTTTACAGATTGTTCTATAAAACCCAACCAAATATTTGACTTGTGTTTCAGGGACCTGGGAAGGTCAAGGAGCGAGAAACTGGTGTTGAAGTTCTGCGACTGCAAGTAACAGACAAAGACACCCGTGGTTCAAAAGCCTGGAAAGCCCAATACACTATCCATGGAGATAAAAAAGAGCAGTTCAAAATTGAAACAGACCCTAATACAAACGAGGGGATTTTAACAGTTGTTAAGGTAGGCAAAATGTTTTCATCGTGTTAGAATCAGAGTTTGCACTGAAAGACCTTGTCGTTATATTGTTGACTCTGCTGGGATAGGAACTATTAAAAAAAGATATGAAAAATATTATGAATACATTCACGTTGACACTTCTCTAAACTATCTTAATTTTTTGGCTCATTCCTACATTCCAACACCTAGCAAATGGACTATGAGGAGCAACCATACCAAAATCTATCCATCAGGGTGCAGAACGAAATTCCTTACTTTTCATGTAAGGTCAAAAAGCAAGTACCGAATGCTATGTGGGAGCTCGACAAAATACCCCCAAACTCTGGCATGAGTGTTGAAAACCTCTATAATACCATTCCAGTGACCATTTATGTTGAAGATGTCAACGACCCTCCGGTATTTATACCCTCTGTTAAACATGTCCACATAATGGAGAACATAGCAGCAGGAACAAGTCTTACAACCTTCACTGCTAAAGACATGGACGGAAGCCATATAAACACATTTAAGTACGAGAAGCTAATAATATGTGTAAAACTAATGCCACTGTAGTTTATTGGATGTACAGGATCACATATAAACAAAGGTGAATTCATCTGGTGTTTCTTCGATTCTCAGATTTGTTAAAGGTGAAGATATTGATGGATGGATAACTGTTGATGCAAAGACTGGACTAGTATCCACAAATAAAATTCTGGACAGAGAGTCGCCATTTGGGATAAACAGCACATATAGAGCAACCCTATATGTTGTGGATGATGGTAAGATGATGTTTTTTAAAGAAATTAATACTTTTATTCAGCAAAGATGCATTCAATTGATCCAACATGACAGTAAAGACATTTCTGTTACAACATATTTCTATTTCAAATAAATGCTGTTCTTTTTAACTTTTCATCAAAGAATAATGAAAAAGTTATCATTGTTCCCACAAAAATAGTAGGCAGTTTATTAACGGTGTCATGGTACGTGGTAAATAGGAATAACTGCAGACAGGAATTTATTATCTAGAACTCAGGAACCACACTTTACATAAACGAGAACGGACAAGGAATAGGGAGAAACAGAGGGCTTAAATAACACAGGGAGACAAAGGAACATAATTGGGGCACAGGTGACACAGATGAAGATAATTAACTAGACACAGGTGATTTAACTGAGGGATAATGAGGAGCGGGAAAACTGAACAGGACTAAACCAAAATACTAAGAAAAGGGGGAACAAAGAGTCAAACTGTAACAAACGGTTTTCAACATTGATAATAATCATAAATGTTTCTGGATCATCAAATATTCATATTAGAATGATTTCTGAAGGACCATGTGACACTGAATACAGGGATAAATTGGAATATTATTTCACAATGCTACTGCTTTTACTGTATTTCTGATAAACGTACCTTTGGTGAGCATGACAGACTTAAAAGAAAACAGACTGACCACAAACTTTTGAACAGTAGTGTACTTCTAACTATTACAGATATTCTCATATTCTGAAGTATACCTGGACAAAGAAGTTATTTTATTTACAACATTATTTTAACATTATTTATACAACATTATAAATCCAATTATGTAATTAACCACACAGGGTCCAACATTAACATCTATCTAGCAGAAAATGAATGAAAAAATTATCTATCCAGTTAGTCTTGTGTAACCAGACTTAATGTGCTGCACAAGGTCTGTCGCCAATTGCAGGACATTATGTAGCAGTCAGTGTCAGAAATGTTAGGGTGATACAACTGTCCTCTTATCATCATGAAGAAAGCTAATCTCATGAATGATCATGGATGACATTATCATGTTTTGTACTCCAAATGATTTTCTGTTTTTTCCCCATGTCTCCGATTGGCAGGTGTCCCACCGCTGACAGGCACTGGAACTCTATTTATTCACCTGAATGATCAAAATGATAATGTACCAATGCTGGAAGTGACCGCACTCAACATGTGCCTGGATACAGAGCCCACAGTGGCCAACATCACAGCTGTAGACCTGGACCTTCCTCCATACAGTTCACCTTTTCACTATGAGCTTTTAGGAGATGTTAAAGACAAATGGAGAGTTGAACCCACCCATGGTAATGCCACCATCTACTTTACACCATCTAAGTAAAATAAGTTATGAACAGTGTTATGTTACATTACTCTAGGCAAATAATGCAAGAGATCTCTTAGAAAGACAGCACTCTTCCACCACCTCTTTAAGGTTGTGTTTCTATATCTTTTAGCAGTAATACTAACACATCTTTTCTCTTGAAGGCACAACAGTGAGTCTTGTAAAAGAACACAGTGTGTATTCAGGTCATCACCTCCTCCAGATCAAAATATTAGACCAGCAGGGATTTTCCTCGATCCAAAACCTATCAGTCACAGTGTGTGACTGCTCTATCACTCCCAGCTGCCATGTCAGGATGGCTCGGATGGCTCAAATGGGACCTGCTGCAGCCTGGATCGTTGTTCTTACAGTTCTGATCTTCATTGGTAATGCAGTGATTTACAATGTTTTGATGGTACTAACAGTCCTAATAGGTGATGAAGGATTTCACAAACAGTTTCATAATACTAAAAACACATCTTCTGTACAAGTCAATCCAACCATTAAAGGTGTGGTAAAACAACAACAACAACAACAACAACAAAAAAAAATGCTGTGGAAACCTGTAAAAAACGGTTTTTGAATGACATATGCTTTTGAGAATTACACTTCCATTTTATTGTTCCAGACTGCCAAAGATGGTGAATCATAGTGGAAAGGTTTGTGCACTAACGTACACTTATGAGAATCTCATGTTGATCCAGTCACACGTGACTCTAATCAATGACATACCGGAATCCATATATGCTACCGGTTATCATGGTCTGCTTTGTCATTCTATCAAAATTAACTTGCTCGAATGTGCACAGATTGTTCGGCAATCGCCGCAGGGGATATATCTGCATGGATTTATCTGACTTAAAGGACTCATTGGTTATTCAGGGTCTCTCGTCAGGGGAATATCCAACACTATTGAGGTGAATATTAGTAGAACTTATAAGTTAACCAGGGTACTCATTACCATCTTACCGGGTCTAGTAGTGTTTGTATGTGATTTCTAGGCCTGATCTAAAGAACGCTCACTGGTTTACCAGAGTATTGTGTTTGGCTGCTGTGATAACATTTGGACCTCCCTGTCAAGTGGTGATTCTTGTTTTTTGTTCCTTCTAATAAATGTGTTCATGTAAATAAGAGAACTGCCCCTCACCACCGTTGATCCCGCAGGGTCTGTGACAGTCCATTTTTCAGTCTCTCAGATGCAACATTGGAGGGACATTACAAACAATGTGTGGCTCCTCGATAGACTAGAAAATGGTTATTGTCTTCAAGCCAGTAACAGACTCTTGTTGTGTACCTGTATTGGCCCAAAGTAGTTTGGGACCTTTGCCAGGCTCTTGCTTCAGATCCACCCCAGGGGCTTCCATTCAAAATACTTTATTGTTCAGTAACAGGATGGGAATTTCAGACCAATCCTTGGCCTCAGATGCTTGAACAGTCACCTCAAACATCTTCCTTTCTGCATGTTATGTTGTGTGGTAGATGTATTGTATGCTGTTGAACCCGGCATGTGGTTCACCTTCGTAAACCTAAAGGATGCATATTTGCACATCCAGATTTAATTCAGGCATTCCAGGGCAGAACATACCAATACTGTGTCCTTACTCTACCTATGTGTGTTCACACAATGTATTGGAAGTTAACATTGTAGTGGACTGCATTTATATGCATTTATGCTCGTCGGGAGCAGCTGGGCTTAGGTGTCTTGCTCATGGACACCTCGACACTTGGTCAGGTGGAACCGGGGATTGAACCACCAACCTTCCGGTTTGTAGAGAACCTACATGAACCACTGAGCCACTGCCGCCCGTCGACAAGCAGCCTACAACAACACACTGCGCCTACTGAAGCATGTTGCAGCCGTAGGGCTGAAGATGAATCTGCAGAAAAGCTGTCTTTTCAATGTTTTTTTCTGGGTATGCACCTGGTTTCCAGATTAATGAGGCCAACTCACGCAGTGAACAAAAGGTGGTAGCAAGGTTCCAAGTTCCCAGAAACTCTATATCGAATTCCCATGACTGAACTGCTGCCTCAGCAGTTATTCATCTGCTACAGTTACACCTGCAGCCATTTCAATGCTGGTTAATAGCCAGGTGATTGTTAGCCGTTCACAGTCGCGGTTTCTCTGGCGTAGTGTGTAGGTGGGGCCGCCTCCCATATGCAGAAAAGTGGAAACCACAGATGCTTTTCTGACAGGATGGGGAGAACTGTGGCAGAATTGTGGCATACAGGGGAGGTTCAGTTCATGGCTGAGGGTATGTCATATCAATCCGTTTGAATTATGGGTGGTATTTCTTACCCTTTATCTTTTCAGACAGGGACTTGCAGGAGGCAGGTACTAGTGAAAACAGACAATGCCACATTAGTGTTTCTCATTAATCGTCAGCATTGTTGCTTCTTGCAGACAGACACCTCCTGTCAATTAGAGAAATGCATATTCCTGGTCAGAGCAAGAGTGTGGTGGATTCCCTTTCTCGCTGCAGCCTGAGCTCAGTGGATGGGTGTCTCCACAGAGCAGTGGTTTGATCAATTTGGGAGAGGTATGGGATGGTGTCAGTGGACCTCTTTGTTAGCAGGACAACAACACATTGTTCCCTATGGCTAAGCAGAATCAAGTACTAGTTCAAAAAAGTGAACTAGTACAAGCCCTTGCTCACATGTGGCCAGATCTCCTGCTATATGCTTACCCTCCTCTTCCACTGATCTGGGCGGTTCTGAGACGTGTGCAGGAGAGACAGCACATGCTAATACTAATAGCTTCCTACTGTCCAACAATGATTTTGTTCAGTCTCCTGTTAACCCTTACAACTGCTCCACCTCATCTGTTGCCCCTTCAGAGAGACCTATTGACTCAGATGGATGGGACAATATGGCACCCATTTCCGGAGAGATTGAAGTTGTGTGTCTGGACCCCATGCGGCTCCGGTACTGATTGAATCAATGCAAGATTCTCTGTATGGTACATAAACACTCAACCTTTCCACTATGACTAACCATCTCTGGCAGTCTTCCGCTGTTAATCCAACCACGGTTGTATCAAGGTAAACATAAATTCTCTCTTTTTTCAGCAATATGCTTGATGGTCCTTCTGATCTCCTGCAAGGCAGATAAAATAACGATTGAAATGGACGATGGCGTTGGTCGTCTCATCAAAACAAATACGGAAAATCCAGGAACAGACTGCATGGTAATTTCATTACACAACCCACAGTAGCGGTCCTTCAGTAATATTTGAATTGGTGCATTTTTTTCAGTTTTAGCCAACACTTTACAACTATATGTCAACATTATGTAATAACATGAAATAATGAACAGTTCTTTTACAGCATTTGTTCATTTAATGGTAATTTCTATTTTCGATTGCAATATACTTTACAATGTAATTTATTCCTGTGATCAAAGCTGATTTTTTAGCATCATTACATCATAAATCTTCTTAGTCATTAGTCTTCAGTGTCACATGATCCTTCAGAAATCATTCTAATATGATACGAATGGTCAATTTAATATGTCCTTGCTGAATAAAACTAGTAATGTACTGGATGTGACATTTTTTGACAAGATTGAAATTATGCAAAGCTTGTTATTTGTAGAATATAATTACAGTAATGTGATATGTGTAAGAAACACTGTAAAATAAAATGTTACCACATTAACTTTATAGATTTGTAAATGCTGTAAAAACTATTGTTTATAGTACATGCTACCTAATTCATTAACAAATAATAATTAACCAAACCTTATTGTAAAGTGTAAAGTATTGGTAACTCATGTTTATATAAAACATTCATTGTTGCCTTGAATGATTGTTTTAATTTAAATCATCAGGATGTCTTCATAAAGGTTCCTTCCAGTATAGGCATTCAGAAAACAGATTCTTCCAACGTAAATACTGGCATAAATGAGTCTACAAATGTAATTTCAAGCCAGAAGGTCACATCACAAACCGTGAGTAACAATAAAGCTCTTCATGTTTGACTTTGGGGTTAATTAGAGCATTCTGGGAAATAATTTTTTTTTTTTAAAATGATTTCAAACATAAATAATATCATCTAACATTTCTGGAAATGTTTCTGTATGTTATGTGTATGATTATTTGTTTATGAGTAATTCAAACTGAAAAATTCAAGTCAAAATACAGCTAAAAGCAGTTCAATTTTATAAGTGAAATTCTGCATCCTGTTAGCTATCATATACAGGAGATGTAACTTTTTTTGTTTTATTATCTTTTATATTATCTTCAAAATATCCAGGTGATACATAACAAACAGGTGGCTGCACAGCCAGTCTTCACCGACCAGATGTTCAGACGCTCAATACATAGGGTGAGTATTACATCCACAGCAAGTTTCCAAAGTTTTGGTCATTTCATTGGTTTTGTGATGGACTGTTTCTGCTATGTGTGTTTTCTAGAGTTCCACAAGTTCATACAGAGAAAATTTCAAAGTAAGAATGAAGTGACAGTAATTATAATAACATATGCAAACATCAGCTCAGCTCAGCCTTTCTTACATCATAATCTGTGTTTTTTTTAAGCAGCGATCGAGTATCAGATCAAGTGCTTATTACGGCAATGTGGCTTACCTGAGCAACAACCTTGCTGTTGTCATCAACGAGGTGATTTTATGCTTCTTTCAACATACACTACTAATCAGAGGATTGGACACATCTACTCATTCTTTATCATTATTCATTTAGAAGCATTTAGAACCTTTAGAGCATAAGAAACATGTCCAAATGTTTGACAGGATGGTCAACCATGGGCTTTCCTTCCCCCCTTCTTCTCTTCAGAAACTACTTGCTCTCCAAACCCGTGATGAGGAGTTTGTTGTCTATGAGCCGCACTGCTACGCAGATGAAGGACAAGCTATGGACAATGCCGAACTGGATGCACTCTCTATTCCAGAGAATGACTTTGAATCAAAGATGCTTATAAATCTGGACAACAGGTTCAGTCAACTAGCAATAATTTCCAGACCTGACCTGATGCAAAGGTAACAGTTATCTCAAGAAGTGTAGCAGATTTTTTTGAAAACGAGATACTGAACGAAAACATGAAATATTGATACAGAATATTGGAAGATAAGGGATGCTGGGTCAAACATTCAGGACAAATGGAACGAGGGTCTTCAAAGATTTGTCTACTGTATAATAGTGTTAACCCGTTTAATCCCAATTTTTTTCTTGCAATTTGAGTACATTCATTTTACTCCTTAGACCTGATCCCCAACACTCAAACTTTGACTTTAAAAAACAGGGAAACACCATAGTCACGTACGTATGTCTAGAAGGTCCAACACATTGAAAGTTTCTGGGATACCGATAACTACACTGAACAAAATTAAAAACGCAACACTTTTGTTTTTTTTTCATGAGCTGAACTCAAAGATCTAAGACCTTTTCTATGTACACAAAAGGCCTATTTCTCTCAAATATTGTTCACAAATCTGTCTAAATCTATGTTAGTGAGCACTTCTCCTTTGCTACTCAACACCGCTCGTCGGCAATGGCAAAATGTTTGAGATGACCGATCAAAGCAAGCGGGATTTATGTTAACAGAAGCACGAGCCGCGGCCGCGCGCGAATCCTAACGCGACACTTCAAGAGATTAGCAAGTGGAACTCAACTAAAAAGCTGTTTTACGATAGAAGTTTTAAACGACCAAAATAAATAATCAGTTTGCAAAGACTGTATCAATTAAAGCTCAGCCTCGGGAAGGGGAGATTTACAGGTAACCTAAAGATAAAGAGATTGAGAGAAGAAGAATGAGAGAAGGAGATGGAGATGAGAGAGGAGAGCAGGAAGAGCAATAGCCCATTGCATACTGTGCCCAGAAGGAGAATAATTTTATTACAATGGATTCCTTTTTAACACAAATATACATGTTCTTTGCCAATGACAGTGGAAAAATAATATGCCCCCGAACCCAGATCACTTTTGGGACCTTTGTATTTATAAAACCCTGTGTACGGCTATTGCACTGAATAGAAAATTATATTTTTGAAAAATACAATGAATTACAAGGCTGTACAGAACAGTGCACTATTGCAGACTTATATACTGAGGGTTTAATTACATTATTTTAATATAGTCGATCGGGAACTAAAGTGGGGCGGTCTAAGGTATGAAACTCCAGGGCTGAAAATTAGTCCCACTCCGGCCCTACTCACAGGTGTGGCATACGTTCAGTGTAGGATTAACAGCCAATAACTGTGTTTTCAATTGAAGCACTGTGTTACTGGTCACAATTGTGACCGTTAACAAATGTACACGTCTTACGAGCAAAATATACTGTATATGCAGGAGTATAATTCTCAAAATATATTAGTAGTAGACCCTTAAAAGAATATATGTACAAAATATGATAGTTCTATCTGTTAATTAAGATGTTTTACACACTTCTTTTTGTAGTAGTCTGAGGAAGACATCTTCTTGTAGATGTGCAAGCAGGAATTAAACTGATCTGGTCATGTGAGCTTTCACACTAGTCACATGACATTAATAGATTTTATTCAAGACAATCTATTTTATAATTCATCATCAAGTTGAATTTATTGCCCAAAGTCAATACCAAAATTTTTTGAGCTTCCAGAAATAATAAAAAAGATGCGTTCACTATTGTGACCGGTGGGATTAAACGTTTTGGGTCAGTGTAAATAAATGTTTTGTTGTGACTCTCAGCGTCACGTCTTGTTTTCTGTCGGCTGCAGGAGAACATATATAATTCAGAAAGAAATATTATGATCTGAAATATTATGATGATGTCTTCGCTGTTTTTGAATGTTTTACATATGTTGAATTTTTAAAAACTTGAATTTTATTGTATAAATCATACATTTGAATGGAGTCCGTACGTTAAATGTGTTTTAATAATTGCAGACATTTAACATAAAAATAAAAAAATTCAGTAATGCTTTTATCGGGTGTATGATAGGGCCGTCACTGTTTATGTGATACCCAAAAAAGTACTAAGATTAGTTCTGTTCTGTTTACAGTTTGTACGGTGTTAATGTCATTTCGACATTGTGATTGTTTATTGTTAAACTTGTTTTAATAAATATTTTTGGTTTAATTGTGCTACTGTTCTTTTACAAGTACTAATTTAGAAATTTGTTTGATAATGCTAATGGTGAAGCTAGGTTTGTCTGTTTCAGCATACTGGTTTAATGTTGTATTTACCCTGTAACTACACAGAACAAGAGGGTAACAAACCACTTTAATTTACAGCCCGCAGGAGTTACACTTACCCTGTAAATACACAGTTGAAAGGGGTAACAAACACTACTTACATGTAACAATAGGAAACAACACTATTTGCACAGTAATTACAGAGAAAATGTACTCTTATTATGAAAAGAAAAAAACGGAAAAAAAACTTTTAATTACACAGTGATTTTAATTTAATTTTGTCAGGTGTGGTGGAGGTGAAAGGAGCGAGGTGCAGAGATGATGGGTTCTTTAATGATAATAACAAAACAAAAATACAAACAAAACTACCCCGTAGGGGAAACAAATGACTTGACTGACTTGACTTGGCTGACTTGACACAAGGGGTAACACACCAGGTACATACGACAACGAAACAGCACAGGACTGCAAACACAGGGAGAATAAATAGGGAGACCAAACAAAGGAGGTAACGAGGGAGGACAGGTGGGGCAAATTAATCAATCAGGTAATGAGGGAGGACAGGTGGGGCAAACAAATCAATAATCAGGTAACAAGATGGGAGGGGCTAGACAATCAACAGGAGAGCACATGGCACAAGGAAACATACATGACAAGCCATGTGCTCACACCAAACGTGACTTGAACACAAGCACATGGCCAGTAAAACCAATCACCAGCCATGTGCTCACACAAAATGAGACATGAACACGCAGCTAATGAAAACACTCATAAGCCACGTGTTCACACAAAACATGACAACATGAAAGCACACAGCTAGTGTAAAACACAAGCTGTGTGCTACACAGCACAAGACACGAAAGCACATGAAACAAGGCACAGACAAGATAAAACAGGTGTGTCAGGGCTCTGTCACAAAACCAAGAAATAGACTAGACAGAAGTGACAGAACCCTGACACATTTGCCCTGACTTTTAAATGTCATTGCAATACAATGTGATAAGGGAAGTACTAAGTACTACATGGTACGTTCTGAATTAAAATCATAGCAGAAACTTTTTTTTTTTTTGGCTTAATGTTAAGTAGTTTAGTAAGAAAAGCCAATAAATTAATTTTTTTATCATACTGTGCTTACATACAGCCATATACACACACATTTAATTTACAACCCACAGATGTCAAAATTACCCTGTAACTACATTGCACAAGAACATATTTTGCCAGGAATGTGATAAAACTTTTATATACAACAGACGTACGATTTTTGCCTGTAATATATTAACAGAATAGGCACCTGTTAGTTTTAAAATAATTACATATATAATTTGCTTGTATATCTGGTTGTACCCCTTTATTACCCCTTTATTACCCAAAACTTAACATATTGTTCCCTTATACCTACATGGAGGTACACTATACAGAAACGTACACCATAATTTTGGTTTACTTACGAAGTTCTTTGCAGGTTGTATATCTGCTTGTTACCCATTTATTACCCAAAACTTAACATATCGTTACCTTATACATACACGGAAGTACACTATAATTACAGAAACGTACACCGTAATTTCAGTTTACTTACGCAGTTGTTTGCGGGTCGTAATATAAAGTGTTACCAAATGTTTAACTGTGACACTTTTTTTTTTATATGTACATAGACATATGCGAGACAATAAATCCTTAATAAAAATCTACTAAAAGCAGAATGAATGGTTTCATTCTTTGGGAACTGCAAAAGTTATGTTTTATTTTGACATGTCCCTTGAACTGTTCAACCTGTTTTTCAACCTATTTATTCCCAACATGCAGCACTTTTACTTGCCACACATATTTGCACGTCTTTGCTGTCATACAGCTAGTTTCCTACCTGTCACTTGTTAACCTTTAGGGGTGTGTTTGAACCACTAAACTGACAACACTTCACATAATCTAGTGCTAGCTTTAGAGTGCCACTTAACCAGGTTCAATCCAGTCTCATACTAAGGCCCATTAACAAAACAAAGTGTGTATCAGACATTTTGCAGGAAGACAATTCAGCCATGGGTTGAAATCATGTCAATGAAAACGTAAAAAACCTAAAAAAAAAAAAAAAAAACAGCTGGATATACAGTGCTGTGAAAAGTGTTTGTCTCTGAATTTTATTTTTTATTTTTTTATGTCATAACATCTTCAATTAAAACCTATGCAATGGTCACACTTTCAGTACATGAAAAAAATTGTTCAGTTTAAAGTACTTATTGCTTTATTGTATTGCAGAACACTTGTGCTGAAATTGAGGTGGGATACGGGTAATGTTAGGTACAAGTTTGTTGATGTGGGTATGTTTATGGCGGCGCGCATAGTCGCAGCGGCTCAGTGCTCCCTAAAACAATGCTGTATGTGGTTGCTGTTTGTATTATTCTTTGTTTTTAAGACCAGCTGGGGTAAACCATATATCTTTTACAAAGAAACGGAATTATTGTATATCGGGAGAACATGCGAAGTACCTATAACGAGTGCCTTCCAACACTCGCACAGCATTCCACCGGGAATAGCCAGAGCACCGGCGTCTCCATGGATCGCTTCACCGAGCGACAAGCGCCGGAGACGGAGGAGGGAACGTAAACAAAAGCGGGGCTGCAGATCAGGCGTCCTGGCTAGGCTAAAGAGGGCTCCAAACAGACCACCACTGCCTAGTCTTTTCGTCGCGAATGCCCGATCCCTTGGGAATAAGATGGACGAACTACATCTAGATATAGCAAGCCGGTCAACCATACGAGATAGCTCCATGATAATTATCACTGAAAGCTGGCTACACCCGGGGATCCCAGACGCAGCAGTTGAGCTAGCGGGTCGCTCATTACATCGAAGCGACAGAACAGAGGACTCTGGTAAGAGCCGTGGAGGTGGACTTTGCATTCATGTGAACGAGGACTGGTGTACAAATTCTACTGTTATCAATAAGCATTGCTCACCTGACCTGGAGCTGCTAGTAGTTAAATGCAGACCTTTCTATTTGCCACGCGAATTCACTGTTGCTGTGGTAACAGCGGTCTA